GCTATGTGGACTACACCGAATCGTGAGAGGTTTATTCTTTTATGAGGCGATAGTTCGAGCTGAGCTGGGGGCGGCTGTCTTGGTTAGAGCAATGGAACGACTAGGTTTCATAGACGGAGATAGCCAAGGCGGAGGCTATGGCTTTTATGTGGGAGGTGCCGCAAGCGAACCTGCGAATAGGTGACGCTGAAATCGAGATACGAACATCTATGAAATACCTGGGGGTGGTTCTGGACTCAAAATGGTTATTCTGGGAGCATTTTCGTCGGCTTATTCCTAGATTAACGGTTAACATTGGGGACCCGGGGTATGTAGGTGCAGGACATACGCAAGTGGCCGCGTCGAATGCGCGACCGGACCGGGAGCCCTGCACCGCCGCGCGCGGGGGGTGCGCCGCGAGACTTTCTCTCGCGGCGCCGAAGCATGAGGGGCGCCAAACTTGTGATTGGCGTCCCTTGGGGGGCTGGGGATCGCGGCGGGGGCCGTGATCCCCAACTCCCGCTCCCCAACACCAACCGGGGCGGCGGGCGCAGGGGGTGGTGTCCTCCCAGCGCCCGAATATAAGGTCGAAGGTGCCCAGCACCGTCCGGGGTCATGTCGTCACTTAAGACGACGTCATAAAAATCCACGGGCGGGAATAGAAGTCGGTAATAAGCCGACTGGCCTGAGGGGCTCCCAGAAGTATGCTGCACGCGTTCCTGGAAGTCCCTCATGCAAGGCTAGGTAAGGACACTCGGAGGGGTTTTAGTGGGTGCAAGCCCCACATAACCCCGGGTTCTCCCTCGAGACCCGGGGTATGCGTTAGACATTTCCCCTCCGTTATCAAAAAAAAAAAAAAAAAAAGGACATACGCAAGTGTAGTCTTATGGTGCTCCCGTTTGAGCTCAGGCGGTTATAGCGGATCGTATGATACAGCGTGATGTAAGTAGACTACAGAGGCAGTTAGCTCTCAGGGTTATTAGAGGATACAGAACTATCTCATATGATGCATTTTTGCTTGCGGGGATGGTTCCCTTCAATCTGATTGCCGATCGACTGAAACGATCTTATCTAAGGCGTAGGGGACTTATAGACCGAAATGATTTCATCACTCCTTGGGCGATGAACCATATACGGGAAGAGGAAACAAATAGATCGGCTAAGTGAAAAAGGCGGCTCGAAGAGCTTCTCCATAGTGCGCCTGGGGCTGCTCTTTGGGGGCTCTAATAAGTATTCTAGATGGATGGCGAGGGCCCACAGCCTCATATACAGGAATAACCCAAGTCATCGTGGGATATGAGTGTTTCGAAGCGTACCTCTTTGAAATACAAAAATCGGAAACTCCGATCTGCCGACATTGCGGCGCGGCGGTTGAGAATGCCGTGCATTCCCTTTTTCACTCGTGGATGGGAGAAAGAGTAAAACTATTTGCGGCTCTCTGTCTGGACTTAGGTTTGGACAAAGAGTACAATTCGGTGATTGGGGCCATCGTAGGTTCCTCAGAGGCGTGGACGGTCTTTGCGAAGTTTTGTGAGGCTGTTATAAGATGTAAGGAGCAAGCGGAGAGGAATCGCGAGAGAGGGCGGGGGGGGGGACAGTACGTCCGCCTATACTGCTTCCTTCTCTCCCGGACCATTCCTTTTTATTCCATACATGTATTGTAAATACTGTAAATAATTAATGTATATTGAATTAGGTTTAAATTTTGTAAATAGTAAGTTGTAAAGAGATTCCTGTACGGTAGGTGGGAGCCATCCTTTGGCATAGAGGATGCCCAGATGTAATACCTGTTGGTAGTTCCGGGACACTCTCAAACATGCTTGGACGTAATGCTAGAAAAAGGGGGAGTTTTTAATCGGCTATCTTTTTAGGCGGCCATCCCGGTGTATTCTTTGTGATCACGGGGTGGCTGAATCCGGCACACCCAGCGGTACGAACTGCATCTTTTTTCCCTGATGGGTGTCCTTTTTCGGTCCTCCTCGGTAGGCTATGGGCTATAAAGAGTTTCTTCTCCTACGCAAAATAAAAAAAAGGGTTAGCGTGAATCCTCGCAAGGAATGGGATCATTTCCGATGCGCTCCGGTACTTCCGGTAGCATCTTGATATGATTCCACTATAGCGAGTATAGCGAACCCGCGGTGCCTTAGCTCTCGTAATCTCTTTCCTTGCCATAGGAAGAGACCGAGCGTCCGATGTTGCACTCATCTGCTCGGACGACGAATTGGACCTTCTAAAAGATCTCCCTGTCTTGTGGTAGAAGTGCGGCCATGAGAATGGATGGTGGGTTAACTACCCAACAGCAGCCAAGTGGGGAGCGCATGGACGCTAGTGACTGTGGTGATAGACGGACTTTTTAGTATTGTAAATTGTGTGTAAATAATATATATATATATATATATACGTAAACAGTGAGAGGTGTCATTACTACTCAAAGGTTAAACTGTTGATGATATGCAAAGGACGTTTGACTGTAGTGGATGATGACTTGGAGTCATTGTTGAAGAGCTCTACGTGCAGCATGATTTTCCCGCAAAGTTGGTTCGATCGTTGATGATGGACTAACTTTGGGTCAATGCTGTCTCTTTTGTGTCTGCTCGGTAGAGTTCTTCGTTGTGTTATGGCGTGGATGCTGTGATAGGTTTTCTTGATTCTGGTTTGGACTCTCTTAACGTATCGTCGGGATGGAGGACAACCGGGGGCTTGATATGGACTAGGACTATTGCAGGAGTCCCGAACACTGGAAAAACTTCAGGATGTGGGTTAGCCCTTACGGGTTTTGTTGTCTGCTCCTTATCCTGGAGGTGTGTTGGAGATCGCTCGGCGAAGGTGGTAAATACCATTCCATTTTTTGCTGTAATCGTATTTTTACTATGGGAGGATATGCTTAGTTTAGTGCTTTTAGTTTAAGACTAAAGGTAGGCATAAGTCCTATAACTGACTTTGATACATTTTCGCCTTGCGGTCGTTTGGTGCCGTCCTTGCCGTCGTCCGTTTAAGCAGAGGTGCGGAAGTAATTAGAGACGAGCGGAAAAAGGCTTCTTTCTCATCGCCGATATTTATATACAACATGGATAATTCTAAAAAGGACAAGACACGGCGAGAGCTCGGATCCTCGTCACGGTTTCTCGGGGGTAGTGTCTCCTCTTCCGAACGATCGACTCTTACGAGACAATCAGACCAGGGGCAAGTCACGGAGTTGCCGGCGGGCTCCGCAGCCGATATGGCTACCGCTGAGGGTGGGGCTGTAGACTGAGGTATGTGTGCGACGCCCGGTTCTGGTTCGCAGAGGAGGAGCCAACCTTGTTGGAACGACGGAAACCCACGGTAGTTTTGGAGGAATTGCCTATTATTGGAGTTGGTGAACAGATAAAGAGTGAGGATGGCATTGTCCTCAATAGTCAAGACATCGTGTTAATGATAGTGACGATGAAAACAAGGTCAATGTTAAGGAGTACGGTCCCAGGATAGTGTCTAACGTGCGTCTCCCCAAAGAACTGCAATTACGCGTAGTTGATGAGGATATAGTGAATTCACCTGTTACTGCCGTCGAGACATCCGATGCACCGATGGTGATTGACAGTTCGGAGCAGAGGGCCAGCAACGGCTCCATCACATTGGTTGATGCTGTGGCGATGCGAGATAAGAAGAGAGGACGTAAGCCGAAGGGCAGCAATGTGGGCCTAGGGCTAAATCCCTCTCAAAAATGAATGTATTAAGGATGACTGCGATGATGACATTCTGAATCGGCCCGATTTCCTGCAAATTACGAAGAGAGATTGGCAGGCGGGAAAAAAGAGGAAATTACAGGAATGTCTCTTAGACGACTCTCTGTCGTATAAGCAAAAGACTGTTGTGGATGAGATCACTTACCTATTCTCATAGATGTCTCCGAAAACTATTATGACGGAGATCTTGAGAGTCTTGGATGCTGCAAGTAGCGCACAAAAAAGACTTCAACTATGAAGGGTGATCCGCCAGATAATCATTGGAGTTGAAATAGATAAGCAGTTCAGCAATTGGCGGCGAACTCAGCCAGGGCTCAAAAATCGGCCGAAGTATAATGAGTGGAAGGTCTCCAACTAGAACGAGAAATAGCGTCGCTCAAGAGGCAGATGGAGATCGTCCAGATGGAGATAGTCTCCGTGAAGAAATTAGGATATTAAAGAAGGAGTTTGTTAGCTGTAAAGCGCCAGGAGGACGCAGAAAACTGGATTATGGAGGGGCAGATCTGGATCGACAAGTGGCCTTCGCATGCCTTCCCTCTGGATAGAAGTGTTGCTGGTGTGATTGAAGATATTCCTCCAGCACGCTGCCCTCCATTGAGGGGAGTCTCTAGAATAATATCAGAAGATCCTCCGTGAGAAGGAAATTGATTGATGAGAAGGGATTGTTTTCTCTGCTCCAGCGGGCAGGAGGACATTGATCGACGAAAAAAGGACCCTGTTGGCTGGCTTCCTTCCTCAGGTCTCCTAAGAAAGAGTCTTGGAAGACTAGTGAAGAAGAGAAAAAGAAAGGGAAAGAAAAAGGGAGTAACTGATAACCATGGTGATGGTAGTGCGTGTCTCTGATGTCAGACAGCGGTAGTGGTGCAAGAACAATGAGGAAGGATGTATCCTTTGAAGCGGTGAGGGAAAGTTCGTGGTGTGGTAACGGGAATGGCTTCTGAGAATAATTCTCGGGCCCGCTCTAAACCTGGGACTGGATCTGCGATCCCTTCTGGACGAACTGTAAGGGAACACATAAGTTAAATTCTGCTGTTGTTTTGATCCGCCCTTCGTATGCAGAAGTGACGGGTGAGGCGAGATCTAATGTTTCCCTCGAGGAGTTGAGCATTACTGACACGAAAGTCAGAGGTGCACAAACTGGTAGCCTACTGGTAAAGATCCCGGGGGAGGATGCTGGGTCAAAAGTTGACTCCCTTGCGAGTCGATTGGGCCCTTTTCAGAGACCGGACCGGAGTCAAGATAGTACGGCCGATTAGAAGAGTGAAATTTTGTCTTCTGGATTTGAATGAATCAGTGATGGCTCGTAAAATTGCGAAAGCTGTAACAACGCGTGGGAACGTACAGCCGAGTGACGTTTGCGTGAGTCCTCTGACATCAGGTAGAGGTGACCTTAACACCGTCTGGATACAATGCCCTATTATGTGTGCGGATCAAATGCAAAAGGATGGTGGACTTCGCATAGGCTGGTCTAGGGTACTCCTGGTGCCATTGGCAAAGCGGAGACTTCAATGTTATAGGTGCTTCGCTGTTGGGCATACTAGGGCCAATTGCAGGAGCGCCGTTAATAAGAGTAATGTCTGGTTTAATTGTGGCGGGAGGGACATACGGCCATTGGCTGCAAGGCCTCTTCATTGCCCGGTTTATGCAGCGAGAAATCTGTCTGGGCATAGAGCAGGAAGGGACGGTTGCGCCCCTTACAATCGCTCGATAAGGGCAGCGACGAGTGAGGGGGCTGATAACAGCAACAGAAGAAATGATGTGCGAGTGGAGAAGAGTCTGGTTGTTCGGAAGTCTGAGGCTGTTTCCCCTACAGATGAGAGGGTGTCAGTTGATGCTCCCAATGGCTAACATTGGATAAATAAATGTCAATCGGTCAAGGCTCGCACAAGATCTTATTGCGCGGGTGTGCGAGGAGGAACGATTAGGATTTGTCGCTGTATCGGAACAACATTCTGTGGTGAATAATGGACGCTGGCTCTTTTGGTTAGATAATCCGCCGACATTACATGGCAGCACTCTCACGTAGACGTCCCATGTTCGCCTCTTTATAGGGGGGAGGGATACGTTGCGATGGAATGGGGGAGTGGTGGGGATATTTAGTTGCTACTTCTCCCCCAGCCTGCCAGATATAGACTTTGGAAGAGGACTGCATGACTAGGACACTCGAGTCCTGTTATGTAGTGAAAGACCGTTGTTGGTACTGAGAGATTTTAATGCCAGATATCTCGCGTAGGATTTGGACGATATGAATTGTAGAGGAAGAATTTTGTCAGGCTGAGCGGGGAGGGGGGTTTGTACTTTTAAATAGCGGTTTTGTGCCCACTTGCATGCACCCGCGTGCATGCGGGTCGTCATGTGTTGATTTATCGTGAGCCTCGTCTCTAATAATAAAATTACAATTGGCGCGTGGCGATGGATATCGAATCTCTTTCGGATCATCGCTATGTCCTTATGAAGGTGCAGGAACGAATAGTCGGCCCTATAAGGAGGATTACCGCGAACAAGTTCTTTCCTCGGTGGAGCATTGGCAAAGTCAACCTATTAAACGCGGTGGACCTATTAAACGCGTCGGCCAATGTAAAGACTTGATCCTCCCCTCATGGGGACGTGACGGCGGAATCTCTGGCAGATGGGCTGAATGCGGCGTTGACAGAGACGACTCGATGCCGCGTTTAAGGGCCACCGGTAGACTATCGACTATTTACTGGTGGAATGAGGAGATCGCGGAACTCCGAGTTCGTTGTGTACGGATTCGGAGAAAATTATTGAGACAGCGAAAGAGATATCGTGACTCCGAGATAATCCGAGGTCTCTGGTCTGAATTGAAGGAAGTCAGAAAGATATTCAGAGGAGCTATCAGGAGATCGAAAATGATCTGTGGCAGAGTCTTCTCGATATCCTTGATAGGGATCCCTGGGGCATCCATACCGGATAGTGCTCGATAGATAGCGGATGAGCGCGTTTTGACTGGCTGAATCTCTCCCTCCAAGAGTAGTGGAGGAAGTGATCAGGGCGTTGTTCCCGCCTGGTGCGGATGGGTGTTCCCCCCTTCCTCGTTCGGTGGGATGACGCCTTGGCTGTAACTGGTGAGGAGATCTCGGCGGCATTTGCTAGAATTAACATAGATAAGGCCTCTAGTCCTGATGGGATTATCGGTCGTATTGTCAAAAGTACGTTTGACATTTTGATCAAGCGTTGGATGAGCTGCTTTACGGCGTGTCTCAGGGAGGGGGTATTTTCGTCTAGCTGGAAAATGGCGCGATTAGTGCTGCTCAAAAAGCCGGGGAAGCGTGATTTTATGCCGTCGTCTTACAGGTCAATTTGTCTGCTAAGTGAAGCAGGAAAGTTACTCGAGTAATTTACAACCGACTCACGTAGTATTTGGGCGAATCCGGGGGTATCTCGGAATCTGAATTCGGATTTAGATCGCAAAGGTCAACGGTGGACGCCATATGGAGACTTCGTGCGATGGTGGATGATGAGGTGCGGGATGGGGGAGTGGTGTTGTCTGTGTCTTTTGACATGCCTTCAACTCCCTCCCGTAACCTGTCATCAGAGACGCGCTTGTAGAAAAGGTTTCGCGCTTGTAGAAAAGATTTCTCCGCCGTATTGTCGATGGTTATCTTTCGAACAGATGGCTATCTTATATAAATAGGGATGATAAATACGAGGGTAAATCAATAAGTACTGGTGTTTCAAGACAGGCGACGTTACAAATTGACCAATTACCATCGTGTACTATCATCTTTCAAACGACGTCATAAAAAATTTCAGAGTGATTCATACAATAATCTTGATTTGACAGCAATTTGTAATGAGCGTGTTTGATGTTTTCCAATACAATGGAAAAAGAGCAATATTGATCCATGATTCGTTTCTTATATTTGGATGAAAAAACGTGCGAAGAAATAAAAACGAAGTTGGATGCCGCCTATGGAAACTCTTCACCATCTATGACAACCGTCAGATATTGATTCAACGAATTCAAACATAGTCGTTCGTCTGTTTTTGATGAGAAGCGCCCAGGCCGCTCGACGCGTGGTTACTGAGGAAATCGTTGAAAAAGTCCACGACATGATTCTCGCTGATCGCCGAACGAAAGTAGCAGAGGCCGTAGGCGTGTCGTACGGAATGGCATTCAATATTTTGTATGTTAACTTGAGAATGAAAAAGTTGTCGGCCCGATGAGTTCTGCGATTGCTCACGGGGGACAACAAGCGGATGCGATTATCAATTTCAATGCATGGTCGAATTGCACTATGAATTGCTGCCACATCCACCGTACTCTCCGGATTTAGCCCCCTGTGACTTTTTCTTGTTTTCAAATTTGAAAAAATGACTCGGTGGAAAGAAATTCACGTCGAAGGAGATCATCACCGAAACAGAGGCCTATTTTGCAAAGTTTGACAAATCGTATTTATCTGAGGGGTTAAAAAAATGGCAAAAGCGTTGGGAAAAGTATATCCTCCTAAAAGGGTATTACATTGAAAAATAAAAAAAATTTTTGTGAAAAGCATGCGTCTTCATTACTAACACGGGTACTTATTGATTTGTCCTCGTATGGAAGTACAAATTAGTTCGGTACGTTTTCCAAAAGATGGCTCCGGTTTGAAAAAATGACTCGGTGGAAAGAAATTCACGTCGAAGGAGATCATCACCGAAACAGAGGCCTATTTTGCAAAGTTTGACAAATCGTATTTATCTGAGGGGTTAAAAAAATGGCAAAAGCGTTGGGAAAAGTATATCCTCCTAAAAGGGTATTACATTGAAAAATAAAAAAAATTTTTGTGAAAAGCATGCGTCTTCATTACTAACACGGGTACTTATTGATTTGTCCTCGTATGGAAGTACAAATTAGTTCGGTACGTTTTCCAAAAGATGGCTCCGGCTGTTGTGAATGGTTCATAGTGACAGCTGATTTTGGCGTTTTCAGAGAGGTTAGACATCTGCTAATAATATTCAGTTTATATCGCTTTGAGTTTCATACAAAAACCTTGATTTTTATTGTGTATTTGAAATGTTGAAATTTGTGTTAAGCAGCATTTGTGGGAGATTCTAATTTCCTGCTTTAATTGGAAGAAAAGTGCAGTTGAAGCCCATCGAATGCTTGTCGAAGTTTAGTGGTGACACTGCTCCAACTGATAAATCATATAGGGAATGGTTTCGACGTTTCAAGGATGGAGATTTCAGCTTTAAAGACAAGCCTCGCTCTGGACAGCCAAAAAAATTCGAAGACAAAGAATTAAAGGCATTACTCGAAGAAGATCAGATCAAACGCAAGAAGAGCTTGCAGAATCATTGGAAGTAATTCAACAAGCCGTTTCTGCACGATTGAGAGCCATGGGAATAATTCAAAAACAAGGAAATTGGGTGCCTCATGAACTAAAACCGAGAGACGTTGAAAGGCGATTTTTCTTGCGAACAGCTGATTCAAAGACAACAAAGAAACGGTTTTTTGCATCGGATTGCGACTAGAGATAAGAAGTGAATATTCTACGACAATCCCAAGAAGAAAAAATACTACGCTAAGCCCGTTGCCATCGACCTCAACATCAACATCAAAGCCGAACATTCATGGTTCGAAGATCATGCTCTGTATCTGGTGGGACCAAAAGGGTGTTGTTTATTATGAGCTGCTGAAACCTGGCGATTCCATTATGGGCGATCGGTATCGGCTACAATTGATTCATTTATGCATTGTGAGAAAAACGGCCGGAATACGAGCAAAGACATGATAAAGTTATTTTTCTTCACAACGTTCAGCCTTATGTCGCAAAAGTCGTAAAAAAATATTTGGAAACGCTCAAATGGGATGTTTTACCGCACCCGCCGTATTCTCCGGACATTGCTCCTTCTGATTACTGGTTGTTCCGGAGGATGCAGCACGATTTGGCAAGTCACCGGTTCACTTCTCCAAAATTGGATCGCCTCCAAAGACGAGTCATTTTTTCGAGATGGAATTCGAAAATTGCCTAAGAGATAGGAAAAAATAGTAGCCAACGATGGACAATACTTTAATTAATCTGTTCATTCATTTTGTTTTGAAATAAATGTATTTTTTAACACAAAAAATGGACCGAACTAATTTGTACTCCCAATGGTATAATTCCCTATGATGCGTGGAGTTCCTCAAGGTCCTAGGACCGACCCTTTGGAATGTCGGATATGATTCCGTTTTGCGTGTTGGTCTGCCATTGGATTGCTCTGTTTTCGGTTGTGCTATGCGGACAATCTCCTTGTAGTGAAAGGGTCGTCCTTCTGCGAGATGATAGTTAGGGCAGAGCTGGGGGCAGTCGTTGTAATTGGGGCAATTAAGCAATTGGATCTCAAGGTATCGATAGTCAAAACAGATGCTATGGCATTCATGTGGGAGGTACCAGATGCGAGTATTCGAATAGGGGATGCGGAAATTGAAGTGCGGTCCTCGATGAAATATTTGGGATTGATCTTAGACTCTAAGGGTCTTTTAGGGAACATTTTCGACTTTTTCCCAAGACACTGAGGATAGCAGCGGCCCTTGACAGACTAACGGCCAATATTGGTGGCCATGGGGAGTGCAGGCGTCGCGTATATACCAATGTTTTATCTGTTGTTCTATATGGGGGTCTGTTGTTCTATATGGAGCTCCTGTTTGGGCGCAGATGGTTGCGACTGATCGTATCATACGATGCGGTTAGACTGTAGAGACAGCTGACGCTCAGGATCATAAGGGGGTATAGGACTGTCTCTTACGAGGCGTCATTAATGCTCGCGAGAATGGTCCCGTTCGATCTTTTGGCCGATCGACTAAGGCGATCCTATTTGAGGCGGCGAGTTTGCATAGAGCGAGATGATTTCATCGCTCCCAAGGCAATGAGTCATATTCGAGATGAGGAAACGGAGAGATCAGTAGCTAAGTGGAGAAAGCGGCTTGAAGAGCTTTCTCGAAATGCATCTAAGGCTGCTGTCCAGGAAGTGGGTAGATTGAAAAGATGGATGAGGAGGACTCACTTATAGGATGACTCAGATCATCATGGGTCACGGATGCTTTGAGGCTTATCTCTATGAGATCAGAAAGACGGAATCTCCGATTTGCCAGCACTGTGTAGTGGTGATAATGCTGTGCATACTTTCCTCCATTGCCCATCGTGGGTAGTGGAAAGAGGAAATTTGTTTGTGGCTCTCGGTCTGGACTTAGATCTAGACCGAGAGTATAATTTGGTCGAAGCCATCATGTGCTCCTCCGAAACCTGGACGTCTTTCGCAAATTTTTACGAAGCCGTTATGAGAAGAAAGGAAGAGACGGAGAGGGATCGCGAGAGGGATCGGAGGGTGATGGAACGCCCTCTTGCACCGCTTATTCTTTCCCAGGACTCTGCCTCTTCATAGAGAATATTTTATTATTGTATAAATAGTATATATATACTACTGTGGGCAAAAAGTATCGATAATTTCAAATTTAAATTTCCCGGGGTTTCCGATAGGGACAACCGAATTTATTTTGAAGTTGGCAATTCTGTCAGTGACAGCTGCGCCAAGGTACACGTCAAAATAGTCATTAGTGTTTGAGATAAGCGTCTGTTTGTAAGCACGTAAAAAGTGATTTGTCGTTTTTTGAAATGTCTGAAATTATGGAACAAAGTGCGATAAAATTTTGTGTCCGGAATGGAATTTCTGCAGCCGAAACGTTGAGAATGTGTCAGAAGGCGTACGGTGATGGCGCTTTGTCACAAGCAAGAGTTTTTGCATGGCACAGAATGTTTAAAGAGGGCCGAGAGAGCGTTCAAGACGAGCCACGTGCCGGACGGCCATCCACATCAACTGATGTGATTCACGTCCAAAAAATCCGAGATTTGGTGCTCGAAAATCGTCGATTGACTGTCCGAGACCTTACTGATCTTGTTGGCATATCGGACGTTTCGAGACGATTGAAGAGATAAAAGAAAAAACGACGAGTGAGCTGCGGGCCATACCTACAGACGACTATGCGGCATGTTTCGAAAATTGGAAAAAGCGTTGGCACAGTTGCATTGCAACCGGGGGGGACTACTTTGAGGGGGATGATACGAATGTGGATGAATAAATAAAGAATTTTTGAAAAACAAACAAATTATCGATACTTTTTGCCCACAGTAGTATATATATATATATATATACAATTAGATAGTTTATGTTATAATAGTATATATATTTATATATATATATTAGATGTACAACTTTGCTTCCGCCGTTTTTTATCCGAAATTCGGGACTTTATTATAAAAACTGGTTAAACATTTATGATTCAATTATTATCTATCACTGGCTACGACTTTCTCTCATCTTTCGGGCAGCGTACGAAACCCGCGTCGAAAAAACTGATCATCTTTTGAGGCGATTCACGAATCGATTCAATTTTTTACTTCTTCATAAGACCGGAAATGCTGTTCAATCAGGCCGAGTGCCATTGATCGAAACAAGTGATAGTCAGAGGAAGCAACGTCTGAAGAATACGGTGGATGGGGTAGGACTTCTCATTTCCAACGTTTCCAAGTATGTCTTGACCACTTTCGCAACATGGGGTCGAGCATTGTCATGCTGTAAAATCACTTTATCGTGTCTCTCGTTGTATTGCGGCCATTTGTCTTTCAATGCTTGGCTCAAACGCATCAAGTGCGTTCGATACTGATCGCCTGTGATTGTTTCAGTCGGTTTTAACAGCTCACAATACACTACGCCGAGCTGGTCCCACCAAATACACAACATGACCTTGGAGCCGTGAATATTCGGTTTGGCTGTCGACGTGGAAGCATGGCTTTCCATGATTTTCTGTGCTTAGAGTTATCGTAATGAACCCATTTTTCGTCTCCAGTCACAATGCGATGCAGAAATCCCTTGCGTCTTTACCTTTCAAGCAGCTATTCACAAGCAAACAAACGCCGTTCAACATCTCTCGGCTTCAACTCGTATGGCATCCAATTTTCTTGTTTCTGAATCATTCCCATGGCTTTGAGACGTTTTGAAATGGCTGGGTTAGTCACTCCCAATGATCGTGCCAATTCTTTTTAATTTTGACACGAGTCTTAATCAAGTAATGCCTCCAATTCTGCATCTTTGAAAATCCTTCTCTCTTCCACCGCTATACCAGTCTTCGACGTCAAAATCACGCTTCTTGAAACTCACGACACATTCTTTCACTAATAGCGGCCTCACCATAAGTATTTGAGAGCATTCGATGAGCCTCAGCTGTAGATTTCTTCATATTGAATCAGAAAATTAAAACCTCCCGCAAATGACGAGAATTTGGCTCGTCTAAAAACTGACATTTTCAATCGAGAATAACTTTATGATGCAGATACAAATCGACTAATGTTTCTATGGGGTTATGTTGACAGATACCCAAATTTATTGTATGACGTCTATGATTTATTTATTTCGACCACCACTTACCGCTAAAGCCATCTATAGGAAAACGGCGGAAGCAAAGTTGTACACCTAATATATACAATTAGATGGTTTATGTTAATGGATGTCTTCGAGCGGTGGGAGCCCGCTGGCATCGGAGGTAATTCGTGAAGTCATACCTAGCGGTGGTGCCGGGATTGAGTTCTTCATATATGCTTGGAAGTAGTGCTAGAACAAGAGGGAGGCGGCCGTTCCGATATATCCTCTGAGATCACGGAGCGGTCGAATTCGGTACTCAGTGGTGCGGGCCGCTGGGCGTCTTCCCTCCGATGTTCCTTTTGGGTTCCCTTTGGATGAGGGCGGTGCGAAGATTTTTTTCCTCCTAAAAAAAAAGGGTTAGCATGAACATGATATTAAGGAGTTTTTGCAATACCAGATATAGTGAACGCTAAAGTCACGATATCTGGTAGAAGACGAAAGTGCGCAATGCTCATCATTTACCATGACGCTATTTAGATAATATCCAATCTTATTCTGAGCAAATAAGGTTCATGATTAGCGTCGACGTTATAACTTTATAATCTTATAAGCATGATGAAAACATAACCATGACCACCACGAAATTTGAACAACGATTCACGAATAAGGATGACCTCGTACTCTTAAAAAAGGTTACATCCCTAAATCCATACGAAGATAAGGAAAGGTGGAAAACCATTGCAGAGCGTGTAGGAGCAGCACACTAAAAAAAATTTTAGTGTACATGTCCGAGGTCATGTTGTTGAGGTCATACAAAATAAACTTAAAATAATAGTTAAAAACATTATACTATTTCACTATTATGATTCGGTTTACATAATTTAAGATGTGAAATTCTTCTTCTGACTAATGATGTTAATTTGTAGATCAGAAATAGAAGAAAAATACACGGAAAAGGAACAGCTTCAAGAAATAAAAGATTTGCAACGGAATATAAAGGAACAGCTGCTTCAAAAAAAAGTAACAATGCTAACCTACAAAACCAAGGAATACAATCAAGAGATACACCATTAAGAAATGTTAATCTGTCGGAAACAAGTAAATTAGAACTTCAAGAACTTACGTTTTCTATCTGTTTAACAAACGCTCCATCAAGTCCGACGTTATCAACGGTAATATTACAGCAAGATTTTATTCCTTTTATTTAACGGATATTCCAATAAGTTCAGCATCAAATCACTATTTACCAGGAACAATAATGTTATGTCCGAGTTGTTTAACTCATATCACGAAAGGCTTAAATTTACTGTGGACTTTGGCGATGATAACGGCATACATTTCCTAGATGTTAAATTAATGAGACAGGAAGGAAATATCATCTTCGATATTTATAAAAAACCCACCAATTCTGGGAGATATCTGAATTATTTTTCGAATCATCCGTTAGAACATAAAAGGGGAGTTATTATTGGGCAATTTGATAGAATTCTATTCTTATCCCATCCTATATTTCAAGAAAAAAACATCTCTGAATTAATTCACACGTTTCTGAGTAATGGTTATCCTTTAAAGTTTATATTTTCTACAATAAATAATAGAATTAAAACGTTGGAAAACAGAACTAATTTAGATAAAAATCTTAAAGAAATTAATAATGAATGTGACTCTAATGTTACTTCTAAAAAATTTTTCACGTTACCATATTTGGGCAAAGTTTCGGAAAAATAAGGCTGATATAAGAAAACCTTCTTCCGAAATTTCTGTGGTCTCACGTCACCGTATGAATGAGATGCATGAATTAGATTGGGATAATATAAGAATTTTAGATAGAGAACAATCTTTAGCGAAAAGAAGAATTTCGGAAATGATACATATAAAAAAACAATCAAGTGGTATCAATAAGCAAAGTGACACGGAAGGTTTGCCTGAGGTTTATTTTCCTCTTCTAAAAAAGGATGTCTCTTTCTGTTAATAAACAATTCTAGAACTTTCTAAAAATTTTGACTCAGATATATAAACAGTGGTAAAATATATGATAGGACAAATAACAACACATAATGTCACGACAAAATTCTAACTGTGTAAAAGAAATATTCGAGATTCATCGTTTGGTTTTTTTGCTGTAAAACAGGTAATGATTCTTTTTCTTTATATTCTGACTAGAAGATTTTAATATATATAATTTCATTTAGAATCAGGAAATTCTTGTTCTACACTTTTCTTGATATGACAATTGACCGTGTAACATTACTGCATGAAGCATCTTCACATACAAAAGAACATGTTTATTTAATTACAACTCTCGACTGTTGAATTTAATGTCAACTAGATGTAACTCTGCGTTTTAAGAATATTATTGAATTACTGAAGATGGCCAGATTGTGGCCGAAACGTTTAATGTTTTAATGAATGTAATAATAATTAAATATCACAAACTATAACTTGTGCTGTGGTTTTTTATGCTCTTATTTTTTATATGTGTTATGTCCGAGTGTTCGGCTCACAGAGAGACGTTCTTGCGTTCGCGTTCCTGCGTACGCACTCCTGCCCGCAAATGACGTACCGCAGTACTTCTGCTCCTAATCCCCGCCTCGGCAATCGCTCTCAGTTTCACAGTTCAAAAACCGCGGGCGGTCTTCTTTAAAAAAAGTAAGACCGACGGTTGAAACACGATCGTAATTAATCTTCCGATTTCATGGAAAATGAACCCGCTGGACTGGCTGTGCGTCCGAAATGTTTCCAACGAAGTCTCTAGGGAGATCCTCTCCGTCCGTAACCGCGTTATGTGCTGCGCGAACGTGAACCCTGCAACTAAGAAAAAAAAATAACACGCAGCTTACATCATAAGATTACAATTCTTTTCAAGTGATAGGACTCCGATTAGTTAACCTTTTCAACTCGTTTCTCCTCAATGTCTTTTTAAATAAAGCGCCAGCCTATCCGAATGTATAATTATATTTTTATGCTTGTTCGACTTGTAGATACAGTATACAATGTCGCTAAGTTGCTTAACTACTATACAGGGTGCGTCACCAAAATCCGGACAAATCGAACAATTCCTTGTCGTGGCAGTCTCAGAGAGCCTCTTTAATGTGTACGATTTGTATCGAAGATCCTCCTCGGCAATTCGACGCATTGTTGGCTCGTTTACACCAACAATCGATGCTAATTTTCGCAACGATTGCCTTGGGTCATCCGAAATCAGCGTTTGAGCCCTTTCAACGACTGCAGGGATCCTCGCGGTGCGTTCTTTTGAGTGATTCTTCCTCGCTGGCATACTGGAACCTTCGTTGGACTGTTCTAAAGCCGTATATTTTGCCACAACGTCATAAACAGTGGATCTCGGATATCCAAAGAACCGAATTATTTCCGTTTCTGAGCGCCCGGCACGAAGGTCTTCGATGATCACGGCTCTTCGATTATACTCCGCACTTGGTTTCAATATCGCGGCCATTTTGAGAATATGACTGTTTACTAGAAGCATCAGGCTTTCTTGGACGCCAATAACAATCTCTGGCGGAGGCACAGTATAGCGGAAAATTTGAATTGAAATTTGTCCGGATTTTGGTGACGCACCCTGTATATAGTCCTTCTCAACTGCTCTGCAACTTGGGAGTTCTCCCCTTCTTTCTTCTAGGATTATATAACCACATTTTCTGTCCCTCTTCAAAATAGATCTGTCTGGCTTTAAGATCGTATCAGGTTTTTGAAGATTGGTATGTGAAGATTTGATATCTATCTGT